GTTTTGCAAAGGGATCATTCCTCTCCCTTAAGTCTCACGGCCGTCCCCGACTTTCTGCAACAAGCGACCAAGACTCAACGACCGCATGAGGTAAAACCCTTGGTTTACCAACAGCTCAGACACCAACGCGAAAAAAGCCAGACAAGACCCGATAGGCACAATCTACAGCCAAAACACCCCCTTCAGGTCGGGTGTGTGTGAGGATCAGCACCAACAACCTCAAAGTCGTCGTCAAAAGCCGAAGCCCGCGAAAACCCAACCAGAAAAAAGAAGCCTCTTCCTTTCGCAGGACAAACCGACGCGCGCTGACCTTAAACTTGAACTTGTTCATGGGGCAGCCGTGGGCCGCGCCGCCAGACAGCTCGGTGGGATCGGCCTCCGTATGGTCCACCCAGTCGTGCTGCGGAGAGGAGCGGCAAGGCGAGAGGGTTAGCGCCTGTACTTAAGAAGTTTTGGGTCGAGGCTGGGGATCTTGGGGTCCTAGGGTCCCACGATACAAAAGGCCGTTATACATAGGTCTTAGTGTCGGGGTTCGCAACCGAGCTCACAAACGGTGCTCAGGCTCACAAATCTTTAAAAAAAAAATCGAGCCCCCTACGTCACCCTTGCTTGAGCGTCGTGGAAATCGAAGACAACCCTGGCAACGGGAAAAAAAAGAAGTTTTTTCTGACGCTATGAATTCATTGCTTATCTGTCTCTGACTCTTTTCTATGATAGAGATGGATTCGTTGTGAAGTTTTTTCTGACGCTATGAATTCATTGCTTATCTGTCTCTGACTCTTTTCTATGATAGAGATGGATTCGTTGTGTCATAATAAAAATAAAATACAACTCCCCAATAAAAAAAGAAAAAGAAAAAAAGGCGGGCATCCCCCCCCCACCCATCGCCTCTCACCACCATGGCCTGGATCCAAGCCGCAGCGAGGACGTTCAGCTGCGCGCCGGCCGGCTTGAAGAAGTCCTTGTTCGGTCCCGACGGGCGGCGAGCCAGGAGCTTCTGCGCCACAAGGAAAGGGTCGGGGATGTTCTCGCGGCGAGAGCCGGGCGCGTAGCCGGGGCAGTTGCGGCCCAAGGCCTCGTTGGCTCCCCCGGCGGCGGGGCAGTCGAGCTCGTTGTAGTGGCCGGTGACGGTACGGTGGTACACGGGAACACCTCCGGCCGGGGGCGGGGGGACCACGGGAGGGTTGACCTCGTCCACCTGGTTGGGGGGGGGGGGGGGACCCCTCCCCTAACGGTTAGGGAAACACTTTACCCCCCCACCCCAGAGGGGGGGGGGGGGGGGGGGCCCAAAA